GTGTGCTGAGAAATGTGTCTTCGGCCGGACCCGAGGCGCGGCGCGTGATGAGGGACTGTGATGGACTCGTGGATTCATTTGTATGGATCATCAGGGCACCACTTGGCAAAAATGATATTGATAATAAGGTAAGGCAACGATCCACATTCATTCTCTGTCCATACTGGATTGGTGCGTTACCTGACAATTTCATATGAGAGAGAAATCATCAGCTACCGTTTTTATTCGGTTAAGCGCCCTGGATGCTTATCAAATGTTTGAACCTTGGGAGTGGCTGCTTATTCGAGGCGAAGCCGTCATTAAATTTCACCATTTTTAGCAAGTAGTAACCTTATTTTGCCATAGAACAATGGTTAATTAGAAAACGTGAAGGTGTAGACGGTGAACGTAGAGATTTTAAGAAAGTAAGGAAACAATAATCAATTCTTCTCCTCCTCCTCCTCCTCCTCCTCCTCTGACTTTTCCAAACTACAGGGTTGGGCTCTTTGTCCAATAAATATAGTACCTAGAATAGTTTGTATCTGCTTACGCACCGAGACGTAGCCCCGTTTTAGAGCTTGTCAGTAAAACTTTTGTTATTTTTGTCTTACAGTCTGTTGAAAACTCCGTCTGTATTCTGCGCAACTTGTCCTACCGCCTGGAGAATGAAGTGGACAGAGAAAGACACAAGGACGCTCCAATGCCCATCCAACCCGGCAAGGAATCAATGAAAGACGACCCGGGTTGTATGGCGGGATGCGGGACGGCATCAAAGAAGAAAAAGAAAGGAGCGCCCAAAGAAACTGAAGAGCCGCAGATAAGGAGAGATCCTGTGGAGGGTGTGGAATTACTATGGCAACCAGAAATAGTCAAGTCGTACCTGTTAATTATGGCTGAAGCGGCCAATCCTGAGACGCTAGAAGCGTCTGCTGGGGCCATTCACAATCTGACAGCATGTGGCTGGAGGGTATGTCTAACACCTATAGATTTAGTGATAAGTTAAGAGCGAAGATGGGGTGGAATTACTGTGTTGTGGGCTTGGGTACAACACTTTCCTTCCACTTTAAACGACGGTGGGCCACTCCTTTTTTGTTAATGCGCCATAATTTGATCGGGATGTCCTGATGCGAGCTTTGACATAACCATCGTCTTGTCTTCATGGTAAAGACACTCTATTTCACTCTCACTGTGCATCTATTCAGTCAGGAGCATAACTAACTTCCAGGGAAAGGTTTCGAATCCTAAGTAGTAACCTGTGATAGACAACCGTCCCAATAAAAGGGTTTGGTAATGATCCTTATCTCTTTATACGACGGAAACGAGGAGATGCACCAGGGGTATGAGAAATCAGAGTGAGAGTTTCATCTCTGCTTGTTCACCTTTTAGACTATATCATCAGTATTTATATTCTCCATACTGTTCTCTATACATTTCCTAAGGTGCTGGCAAGGAGAATGCGTTTAATAATCAATAGCTTCTTTAGTTGGTGATAATTTCCGCCATTTTCTTGATCTTATGTGGTTTCAGGGGTGATATTGTAAGGAGAAATTAGTTGCAAGTGACAAGGTCGATTGGTTAATAGTGCTTGCGTCCAACCTCTGTAGAAAAAGTGACTTAGATTTGCTTTTCGGAATTTATGTAAACGAAGAGAAAGGGAGTTAATACTTAAAAATAGTTTTTGTTTTATACAAATTAATTTTTCAGTGGTCTATGATTGTCCGCTCAGCAGTACGGAAAGAGAAGGGTCTTCCCATTTTAGTGGAACTTCTACGAATTAATCATGACCCTGTAGTGAGAGCTGTTTCAACAGCGATGAGAAATCTAGCAATCGACCCGAGGAACAAGGATGTCTTAGGTGTGTAGATTGACCTCTTCTTGTCTGTTGTAGTGTAAAGTTTACCGCAGCTTCATCAGACAAAGCACTCAAGTAATTACCTTGGTTTACAGCGACACGCTCAGAAGTAACCGCACTGGAAACTCCTGTCGAGTAATGTTAGACAAAGCAGAGTATTTTCGATTTGAAGTTAGAATTGTTGTTGCTGATGCGTTTATTTCTCTACTCGTTCGCAGCTAAATACGGAATCAAAGACCTGGTTCATCGTCTGCCCTATCCTGGGGCACCTTCCAATGTCCGAGCTGAAGAGAACACAATCGGTGCTGTACTGTGTGCGATTCATCAACTCGTGAATAAAAGTCTAATGAATGGAAGGTAATGCTACAGCACTTTCATACTGTTCTCGGCATTGACTAGAAATTCAGTTTGTGAAGCTTCTTAGTGAGCTTGGAAAAATCATTGTTTTTATTCAAATAAATCCATAACGTAGTCATAGAACGTCTTAAATAGAAATCGGTAAGTTATTGGTTCCATTGTTCTCCAAGTTTGACCAGCTTCATTCTTATCAGATACACTTTGTCTCTCTCTTTTATCCAACTAGACATTTAGTGTGTAAAGCTTCTTAGTGAGCTAGGAAAAATCATTTTTTTTATTGAGATAAATCCATAGTTCAGTGATAGAACGTCCTAAATCGAAATTGGTCGGTTGATCATTGGTTCCACTGTTCTCCAAGAATGACTAGCTTCATCCTTATCAGATACTCTTCGCCTTTCTCTTTTTTTATAATCGTGTTTTTCTTTTCTTTCCCGTAACTTAGACATGTTAATAAAGCTGGCGGGTTTCAGAAGATTATTGCGATCGCGAAGTCGCGCGATCATTACTCCCCGAGAATTGTAAAAACAGCAAATCAGGTACGACAGAACTTGCAATTCACTCTTCAACTCTCAAGGTCTGACCCTAGTTCTCCTAACAGTTAAGAAACATTTCCTTGAAATTGGTTCACAAAAATGATTCTCTCACCGGGTGAGAGTGCGACGGAGGCAAGAAAGGAGGTTGTCGCACATTGATTGGAAGGGGGGGGGGGGCTGGGTAACAGCCAAGTCTCCGTAATGATCTTTTTGTAAAATAACGACAAGTTTTTATAGTCTCATGGCCTGTTTGATACGTGATGTATTGGTACTGTAAAGAGAAGGTACGTGCCATTCTGTACCGTGACGGAGGTAAGGGCAGGAACGTTTGACTCAAAATCTAGTGACTGACCAACCCCGCCTCCCCACCGAAGAATGTAAATGGGTTTTAAAGAAATGTGAGGGACAGATGACAAAATGTTACAGGGGGGGGGAGGAGGGTGGGGTAGGAGGTAGCCTTTGATGGACTGACATCCCATCTTCGAGATCTTAATGCCCTCGACTTTGAAGTCGGGGGTATTTAGATCAGTACAAAATCTTTTTGTGAAAAAGAGTAACAAAAGCAAGATTGGGACTCATCCATGCTCGAAGCAGGGTTCGTGTGACTTTAAATCGCTAATCAGTTTCACGTGGGTTTAAACTTCTGTTTGTGTTGTTTTGAAGTGTAGTTTCATTTTTGCACCATAGGTATTAATAACTCTTTGGAACTTACCAGCTCTTCGAAGTTCTCTAAAGAAGGAAGGCTGGGAGTTCACAAAAGAAATAGGAGATGAATACGGTCATGTTCCACCCACCCCGCGGCCGTACGACGAGGTCACAATGCCACGGGGACCTCAGAGAGGAACCCCGTCTACTGTCGGAAGGAACGAACCACGACCGGTACGATCTGATGAAACATCGATTCCGGAACCTCGATACGAGTCCCAACAAAAAAGCGAACCCCCAAGGTTTTCCAAAGATGGTTACGAAGCCAACGACGATGCTCGACGGCGAAGAGAGCCGAACAACGCACGAGACGAGTTGGAAATGGAAGGCGTGGGTGGCTATAGGGAAATCGATCNCTGGTACTCTTGTGCTTAAAAACGGAAACTCTTACACAGCAAGCTCTTGCTAATGACCTCTCAAACGCTGTTGATCGAAAGGAAATACTTGAAATTCGAAAAAATAAAGACCAGAAATGGTTCAGGCGATGATAGACCGGAAATGTTTAAGGGGATGATATATATAGACCTCTCTGTCATGTTATTTTTTCTTGATTTCTTGTCCGCGTTTTCGATTTTGAGGCAAATGAGTTGTTCAGGGTGCGTCTCCAACACATGGACGAGACGGTAAATTTGCGTGCCGGAGCGTATTTATCAAAACAATTTACTTATCACGAAATATATTTGAGACAGAGGGTTTTACTGATCCTCTAATCACTCATTCTTTGCTTTGTAATATTTTTCGACCGAAACAAGGGAATCAAAGGTTGTGTTCACTTTCGCTAGTTTTTGATGTTAGTGTTTTTGACTCAGCCAACAACTTCCTCTCACATAATCATTTTCGTTACTATTATGTCATAATTTTGGGTTACTCACATTTTCGGTTATTTTCCTCGTATTTTTGGTACAGGATTTCAGAAAACAAAACTTTAATTCTTTACCATACCCAAAGAAGGAGGAAAATGAATTTGAATCTGGCATGACGTTGAATTAAATCGTAACAATCGTGAGCGGATCACGATTCTGATGTGAGAAACTAAAAAGTGAACATGTACACTGAAAATATCCAGCGCTTGGCGAGATACGTGATTCCTGCCTTTTTTAGCCCAATGATCCATGATTCATGAAAATGTTTTTTTTCCGATATTCGTGATTCATGTTTTAGCTACATTTCATAACCTTAAAAGCAAGAAAATTCATGACTCTTTATTTAACCGCTATGATTATTTTGCATATAACTCCGAAGTTCTCGACTAGTAATCGTGAAGCCTGTGATTCAAGTGCCAGAGCGAGGTGGTATAACACCGAGTATGAATGTGTATGAAGTAGAAACTGGGAACAAAATTACAATTTCTTTTTCTGACATTATGAGATAGTCAGTGGCTATTAAAGTTGACAGGGTCGCGTACGGGGCCAGTTGTCTCGATTTCGTAGGTGTATATGAGTAATGATCTGATCTTCACGAACAAAAACTAAAACTGCCCGCGAAACTGAAGTAGTTACCTTAGAAAAACACAGAAACAGAAACATGCATGCACTCCTCAAAATTTATTTCTAACCGAGGGGAACAGTATAAAGTGCCGTTCAACTTCTTCGAATTTCATCGTGCGGCTAAGCCGTGACACTTTAGTGGTTACACCTTGAAGCTGCAAGGAAACTTTTCATGTGGAGTTGGTGTCAAGAAAGCAAGACAAACTTCCAACCGAAACTTCTGAGGTAAGAGTCGTGTATCAATAGGAGTGTTTGTTTATTAATAACAGATTTTTTTTTGTTATACTTATGGTAATGATGTCCTTCATAATTTGTCTCCTTTGTAATTTGTAGCTTTTCCAATATTATATGTAAGAAATGGCTAATCTTGCATTCCGATTTCCGCTCCCGATAACTCGAACAATCGTTTGCTCGAAACTTTCGCTAGTTCAATAAAAAATTCGGTAAGGCTCAGGTTTAATTTCTGATATCGGCTTAATTAACATTTTGTTTTTCTTCCAATTATACGAGAGTATTCTCAAGCTGAAGTGATTTCTGTGTTTGTTTGCATTATTTTCTTCGCACTTTTGTATTCGGTAACTATAGATTCATTTGGCAAGAAATGCCAAAATTTTTATTATGTCCTCCAGTAGTTTGATACTCTCAAAATCATGTTCTGTGATATTGCCAAAGTTCCTTTATTTTCTCGTACTGAACTCGACACAGAGAAAATTGAAACTAAACTATTGATAGGTTCAATATCAGTAAGAAATTAAGTTTAAAAAAATTAGGCCAAACAAATTTTGATGTGGTCGTGATGCGGAATGGAATGCGCAGCGTTTGTGATCTATCACGTTCAACTATACTCCAAAGATAAGTTCAATTTTCTCGATCTTTGCCAATTTTGCGCGAATGTTAATTTTCGCGTAAGTCGCTATCATGTTCGAAATAGACTTTGAGTTGTCGCTGAAAGTGATAGTAAAAAGATGAAATAAACAGTAAATGACTTCGTAACAACGTCCACTTTCTCGCCTATTGGCTTTGATCTATAAAACGGATCGAGTACACATTCCCAAGTTTGCCATTAGTCCAAATATTTTGCCCATAAACATTTTTTTCCTAATGATTTTACGGGGTAATGACTCTTAATCAGATCCACAACTATGGGGCAACTTAACAGCACCCATAGTGGTTATGATGATGGAAATCTCGGACAAAAGATACAGGCTAACTTCAGCCAATTTGAGAGCGAGAGAATTCATGATATGTTTTATTGTCTAAAATAAATTTGCAGATCCTGCTTCGCTTCATAGGCCGTCGGAAAAAATCATTTCCGTGACCAAATCCAAGCGAATCAGAAGGAGATGATCGATATAAGTTTAAAACTATACAATGTTTCTCGTTATTGATTTTGAAAATCATATTTCATAAAGTATATTCTGTCTTTGGAAACCGTTAAAATGAAGAAACTTCCTGATGCCCGGGAATTGCCGTGGTGAAGTATCTATTGGTTAAATTTCTTAATCTGATCAACTGAAAGGAAAGGTTTGTGCGAGTTCTGTAGACTACAAACACAGAGCATCTTCGAAGGTACGTTTCAATCAAACAAATGGCGAAAAACGAAGCTTGAAAAAAATTCAGGCTATGACAGTTTTCGAATCCGTTTCTCTCCCAGATACTAGCTTGGTGCCACTACCCGACCGATAAAAACAAGAATTTCTCATGTAGCATGCTCTCCCAGCATGTCGCACGGTTTGTCCACACCCTTTTTCGTTCTTGATCACCTGGGCCTGTTTTTTTTTTAAAATATATTCCGAATGCGTAGTTCAACGATGCATACATTGAAGAAGAAGCGAATCTTTCTAAACTAATTATTTTGTATTTCCTTTTAGATTATCAAGTCATCACAATCTTCTCGTTGATGGATGAAATCCTCTCTGTACACCCTGTGTTACTGAGGTGAGTATTTCATATTGTCTAGATACTGATTATACTTTTCACCTTGTCAGCCGTTGTAAGCTTGCCTGTAATGTGCTTGTTTTTGGGCAAGGAAAACTGGGTCGAGAACATGATGTCGAGGCTTAACAGAAAGACTTCAGACGAAAATACGAAACTAATATTCCTTTCTTAGTTTGCCTCGTTTCTGTGAGCAATTGTTTTTGTTATTCTGGT